GGTAAAAGAGTAGCCCAAGAGTTGGCGGTGGGTGGTGATGACTAGCTGCCTTCCCTCTAGTCTTACACTGCTAAATTAGGGACGGCTAGCGCAGATAGCCCTCGTGTAGCTTTGCGCGAAATTCAAAAACAAACATATGGGCAGCCAGAATCATGCACGATACTGATAGAATACCGCAGTTGTAATTATTTAAAGTATAACTAAGAAGGAGTTGTAGAAGTTTGAAATAAGTTGATAAATTTAGTTTGACTTCTGTGTAACACTCAAATTACATATCCTATATCAGATTCAAGTCTTGAACAAAAATGAACCATCTGGACTGGTTTTTTCTGTTTGAATTAAAATCGTCACTTATATGAAATGTTAATAGTATTTATGTCATTTATTGCTGATTTATTAAATTCAGCTACTGTTGAAATGCATTACATTGTAACAAATACACTGCTACATGTTCATAACTTTTCTTATGACATAGTAGTTGAAATATGTTAAACTCCTTAGTTTCACAAAACAGGAAATGAGCTGACGCGTATGTGAAACCAAACTGAGATTACGCCAAAGCACGATAACTTGACGCACTGCGGTGAACTTTGTGAAGACTTAAATTGGAACTACTCTATAAACAGCTTGCAACAAATACGACATCTTAGCGGTCATGTTCTGATACAGAGTTCTTTGTTCGGTACGTAACCCCCCACCCCCTCCTTCCCTAGCAGTTAAGGAAAGTCACGCGGTACACTTGTAACCAATCATGTGTTCTTATTTTAAAAACGCATGCGCATTAATCTTACTAGTGAATATTTTAAAAAGTGATATTTAGCGCCTTTTCATCACATCTCTTTGTGAGAAGAGACAGGATACTAAAGTGTCGTAAGGACTTCTATATTAAGACTCATTATGCGAGAAATCGTACATATTCAGGCAGGACAATGTGGCAACCAAATCGGAGCAAAGGTAAGGTTTTCTTATAATGTGAAGTTATCATATGGGTAAACGCCAGTACTAGTAGATACTAGAGTTCACATATTCGTACAGTGTACTATACTGTCTACGATTCGAGTGTTAGTATTGTTACTCTGATTTCAAATATCATTTTATTGTTTATTATCATTTTATATTATTATTAAGCATTCAGTGTTTAAGTACTTTTGCTTTTAGCTAACACTAACACAAACGTTGCGTATCATTGAATTCGATGTGTTTCATACTATTTGTTCTTTTTCTGAAAAAGTACACCAAAATTTCAGATCACCTGAATTTCTTTACATGGCCCACTACCTCTTACTCTTATAGTTAGAATTGGATGTACATTAAAATTTTAATCATGACTTTATTTTAAGTAGGATAGAACTTAAACAGTGAAACAATCCTAATTTAACATCATACTTCAAGTGGAATGCAGTATTAATTGTCCAGTTCATGATTATGTAGCAGCGCCACGACGTGAATAATTTTCGAATCACTTACTAGGATAGAATCTGGTGCCTCACGAGTCACATGCTTGTGTATTGTTTCTGTGGAACAAGAGGTTGACTTAAAACATTTTCAAAGCATTAATAAAATAAAGTGGTCTCATGATCTGACTTTATTACCAAATGTTAAACATAATATCCTAATGCAATATTTGAGAAAAACAAAATTGTCATTTACATGAACAAAAAAAATATATACTTGCAAATCTTCATGTGATAAATTTAATCTAAGTCAAAATGCATAAATATAAGTAACTGAACCCAATATCACAGTTGTTAAAGAAAAGACTATTGAATATAAATTAAATGACAATTTTAGACAAAATTATACATATTTCATTACTGTTGCCTTTTCTAAGTTGGCGAAGTATGATTATGATTCATTACACTTGTCATAAAACATTAGTAATGATATATAATGGGAATAATTAGTATAATAGGCCTAATACTTATACCTAATGACAAGTATCATTAATTATTTCACTACTGGTTAAAAATCATTCTTGTCATACTTTGATCTGATAAAATAGATTTCAGATTATAATGAAGCCTTAGTTATAAGTTGCTTTTCTCGTTCTTTTTTTTACCACTCAAAAATCTTGTACTGGAGCTATAAAATCTTAACAAATGCGTTTAGCATATGGTTGTGTCGACTGTAATTTAACATTTCACGTTAATTACAAATTAATATGAATTTCGTATTGATTTTATCTTAATACTACGAAAACGTCGTCGTCAGGCTATTAATATTATATTACTTGTTTTAGTTCTTAATCTTAGCTAAACTCATACGTAATTTTTACTATAGCCGCTAGGGTCGCTCTCGGCGTCCATAAACTGAGCATTCACCAGACTTCAGCATCGCTGCACTACCTCTTAAATTTATTCTTTTAAAATTATCAATATTTTATTATACATTCTTATTAATAGAAACCATAGTATGCTGTAATAAGCCATGACAAGGAAAGTCATGTGTAATGATAAAAAAAAAGCCAAAGTAACATTTTGATTTAAAAATATATATAAGAGAGAGATGATTCTTATGCAATTTTTTAAAACTAATTTGAGTTTACAATCCACCTACACTAAGAGAAAGAACCTGTGATCCTTTTAGATAATTATGATTAACAACTAGGTTATTCTTAAGTGATATAAAATACCCTATAGTCAATATATTACATTATAGTGTTCTAGCATTCTTGCAGATAATGATTTAACCACCATGTTTCTTCACGGCAGTTGAGCTCGTCGTCTCCCCTCGCTAGGCGCTACTGCACATGCTCAGGAAACATGGTATCTCAATTTCGATTGGCTGGGCAATTAGCCGGCTTCAACATCGCTTGAATTTGAAATTTGAATTCTCTTGTTTTTAATTATTTTACATTTCAAAATATAGATTTTCGTAAGACTTCTGGAAGTTGTGGTTGGGATAATAAGGTATACGTATCATCCGTTATTAACGTCAGTGTAACTTACGGCGAGTTAATAATATTATATCATTGCAACAACAGATTTGTGCTAGAGTACTTCAGTGTATGTATACGCAAATTAATAATAAATATATGAATATATCAAGGCAGCAAATACCATGAATGTTTAAAGTGCAAATTTAAGAATGTTCCGTAATAACTTGTTAAACAACAAGCAGCTTATGCAATGATGAGCTGTGGTTAGCGCATGCGCGTTAAGTACAAATGTTTTGCCGCGCGTGACGATATCATGGTAGCATTCAACCGAACATCCTCGATTACAGCAGGTCGAGCAAATGCCTGATTCAGGCATTTCCTGTCTTTTCTTATTCTTTCACGATTTTTATTTATTTTTTTTAACTAGTAATCCAAAACGACTACTGCAATAAAGAAATGCACGTTACATTACTATAGGAAATGATACATGTTACTTACTTTAACAATAACATTATAACTTGTCTTCAGTTGTTAAGTAATTCATAAATGGAAAAAAAAATTCTTTGCATCACCCACTCCCTTGCTTGATCAATAATTATGCTCATTTGAAGTTCTTAACTTGAAACTTGTGGTCGAACTAAACATATTGTAATACGTTGGCTTTTTAGATCAATTGGTAAAAGTTCTCAACAGTTTCCTAATCGAAAAAAAAAGTAGCTACGAAGATAAGTATGTACAGATTGAATTATACACATCGTGATGTAACATGCATCTGTGTACTATTAAATCAAGATAATAACAATAGAATACTGAATATTGAATTCAACCGTGTTAAAAGGGGACTTATTCCAAGTACTAACTTAACTCCTGCGATTTATGTATTTATTTTAGGTAAGAAAAAGTGGGTTTTTAATTAATTTTGAACTCTATAACCTTAACTACTATTAAACATGATACTTAGGATGGCCTTATGGTTAGTGCTCGACTCGCAATCTGCATGTTGCGGGTTCGAATCCCATTAGAGAACATGCTCACGCGTTTAGAATACGGTGGATAATTCCCACGAATCTATTAAAGTAGCCCAAGAGTTCGTGGTAGGGAGTGTTGACTAGCTGACTTCTCTCTAGTCTATCACTTCTAAATTAGGGACAGTTAGCGGAGATAGCCCTCGTGTAGCTTTGAGCGAAATTCAACAAACCTATTTTTATTGAACTGTAGATTCGGTATAAATTCCCAAACTAAGTTTCATATTTTTTACATAAATAATCAAATTTAGTTTGATTCCTTAAATCCTGTACTAGCTCTAATACAGGAAAGTAAATTTAGTCACATTTTGAAAATGTGACTATTTCACTGCTTTTGTATTGCTTTTATGTCTTGGTTGGATTATTATGTTGTTAATGTTCTTGAATATCTTCGCATAAATTGCGAAATTTTAATATCATATATTATGAAGTGTCTAATCCTTGCATTTTAATAACTTTCGCTTAGGGTAAGAATTAAAAGTAGACTAAGTAGTCAAAGGTCGATGAATACTGTTTGGGTACTTTCAAGTAGTCTAAAGTTTACAACTTATATTAACTATACTGTAGCTTTAGTCATTCAACACTAACTGCTTTCTCCAACAGCAATATCGTGAAGGAAAACCAGCTGAGAATTTTGACCAATGTGTATCATTTCAGAGATTAGCGCCATGAACAGTGAGGCCATTGCTCTGTTCATATTTCTAGTTTCGTGTTTAATTATATCAAATGCTTTCACTGTTTTATCTTCAACATTCCTAAACTGTGGCTCCACCTAACAGCGGGCTGTTAACATTAATTGTGTATAGCTCAGTAATTTTAATACAATCTGATGAGTTATCCTTGTACACAAAACCTAACTGTTATTATATTCGTAGTTCTGGGAGGTGATATCTGACGAGCACGGCATCGATCCAACAGGGACCTACCATGGAGACTCGGATCTGCAGCTGGAACGAATCAACGTATATTACAACGAAGCCTCAGGTAGACTTAACATTCTCGACTAAAAGCTGGTGACGACCTATCAATTTCAATTGACAAAAAATTATTTTCACTTCCTTCGGCACTAGTTCTGATGAGACAAAAATGTTGTTAAGCTTGTAACATTCAGATAAAACATTATACAAAAGTAAATAATAGATAGTTAGGTATACAACTGTATTTTTACTCTTTCAAAACTATCCTTAAAAAGATACAAGTATTCTTATTTACGTGATTATTAAAGATATTCGGAAAAAATGTTATGCCAAAACAGCGATTAGGTGAATTATATTAACATACTTTACAATCATAAGAATTAAACTATATGAAGCTATCCATACTTTGCTCGAGAGCGAACAGAAATTAACGAATTACATATTTGTTGAGTAGACTTGGTAACCAAGTGCGTATTAAGGAAAGACTTAACATTTTAACAAAAGTAATGGCTTATTTGTCATTGTGATTTTAAAGAGCACTGCGTGTTTCTATGACAACAAATGTCATATTGGATCAATAATTGTGGCGAGAACTGCAAGAAAATTGATGCGCCATCCATAACTTCCTGGTTGCACATTGTTTTTAATATTGACACTAGTGATCATTAACTAAGCTAAGCCCCCCTCCCCCCTCCCCCCAGTGACACAGCGGTATGTCTGCGGACTTACAACGCTAGAATCCGGGTTTCGATACCCGTGGTGGGCAAAGCACAGGTGGCCCATTGTGTAGCTTTGTGCTTAATTCCAAACAAACAAACAAAAACTAAGCTAAATTTGAAATATCTCTTGGATACCCTCAAAAGAATAAAACTGATGACATGACCTTTATTTATTATGATAAAAAGTCACAGTTGATAAGGTTGTCTCATGTAAGTTTGACATGTTTTACCACTTACTGAACACAATAATTTCCACTTGGAATATATAGACAGATTTAGATATATTGGTCAACAGGTATGAACAATTTTCTTTAACTTTTTTAGTTCTCGTTATTTAGGTGTAAAACGTATGTATATTTGCGCCAGACTATTTGTGTTGTTGATTCATTAAATTTGCGATTGACAAACATTGCTTAAAAAGTTGGCCTTTGTAACGTCGTAAAAAAAGTGAAGAGAACAATGCATTAGATATAAAGCTAGTATGTGAGGTCTTTCGTTACAAATTTAACACGATGAAAATTATAAAATATGTAAAATATAAGATTTTAAAATATATATATTGATCAGCCATTTGCGTTTCGCTGAACTATTAGTCTTAATCATAATAGCAATTTTATTATTATTATCAGATAAAACGTGGCTTTACTAAAGCAGTTTTTGGTTTAACTTTACTATTTATAATAAAATGTTCTGTTTCTTATTACGTAAAGTTCAAAGTTACACTCATTCTATTGTTACAGCACAAATATGAGGTGTTTTTATTTGTGTATTATTCTCGTTCGTCGTAATTATGATAAATATTAAACATATGTTTTGATCATGATAGCGACATTATCGAAATCAGTATGCCAGCTTACGTAGGTGAAACACCATACTGTTTGCTTTAGTCATGGATTTTAACTGGGTGTTGTCGCTTGCTTGTAGAACCGGTCTTTTGTATGTTCTTCTGTTTATGGTATCAACCGCGCGCTTGCCTCGACTGCCATATAAGGAGTGTTCTACTTGCGTCAAATGTGGCCTCACGGATAAGCTAATTAAACTTGCTGAGAGTAGGAAGTTGTTATACCGCGACATCTTTTTCCCGCAGTTTTCTAACATGCTTTAAAATATACAGTGTATGTTTATGTATGTAATTTTTCAAGACTGAAAAAAATGACAAATTTATAACATAAGATTAGCAAAAAATAATAATTAATAAATAACAAATCAAAGTTTCAATATGATGGACAAAATTGATGCCGTTTCTCTTCGGTGAAGTTCAGTAAACATTGCCTTTTTTTTTTCTATAATCATGCTGTCTGTCATTTAATATCTGACTTCAAACGTCATTAAGCACAAATAATTACATGAAATATAACATGATAATTGCCCGATATTAGATGTTGAAAATATTTAATCTTAATTACTTTTGGTAAGCAAATAGTTAGATCAGATTATGGATTAGTTCAACTGAAACTTGAGGCAAACCTATATCCATTTCCAGCCATACTTTAACACTGTTGCTTCTATTAAAATTATTAAAGCTATTATCGCAAAATATTCATACATACAGATTTACAAGTCAGTTATTTTTAGAAGAACAAGCTCTTGATATTGTAGATCATTTTATGATTACCGTTTATTGCATGAACTTGTATAAATTATAATATTGATATAGTGCATATATGACCCTGTTTACAACAATTGAACTTTTAAGTATTGTAATTTTGGTTTTAAAGTTAATTTAATAATGATTTTAAAATGGAAGAATACTGAAAAACGAAAAATTGTATTTATCAAAGGAGGCAAGTATGTTCCCCGTGCTATTCTACTTGACTTGGAACCTGGAACCATGGACTCGGTACGATCAGGACCTTTCGGACAGCTTTTCAGACCAGACAACTTTGTGTTTGGTTAGTTTATATTTATTTGAAGGTTTCACCAAATATATTTTAATCAGTTTAAATGTTTATATCTAGATATATATAACAATTCTGCAGTTACTTAACTATTTTACTTTTATCTTCATGAGCAATGGGAAATGCAAAATTTGGTATGGTATCAGAAGAACTTTAGTTTGAAAAATAACAAACATAATTTGAAAGATGTCAAGAGATCTTTATACTGTTTCTATATTTTATATTAATTAAGAGTTATTTATTTGTCCAATCATCGCTCTACCTTCAGGTCAGAGTGGAGCAGGAAACAACTGGGCTAAAGGACACTATACAGAAGGTGCTGAATTAGTCGACACAGTGTTAGATGTCGTCAGGAAAGAATCTGAAAGCTGTGACTGTTTACAGGGCTTCCAGCTGGCTCATTCACTGGGTGGAGGAACTGGATCTGGAATGGGAACTCTTTTGATTT